GAAGGATGCTGAGAATACCATGAACTGAACATGTGAGCAATAACACATTTTTAGAGAAAATGTAAAACAAAAACAACACTTATATATACAATCAGAAAGAGATACTTGAAATTTCTAGGGCGTATAATGAGGAAAGTGTGCTTGGGAAATTTAACACTAACAAGACATAATGAAGGCCACAGGGCTAGAAGAAAGCTGAAAATAACCAACCTAACGAGCTTATGTAAATTATTGGCAGAACAGGGATTATGGGAGCTAGAGAAAAGACAAACGTTTCTAAGAGAGGCAGAAAGTTGCGGAGGGCTATAATCGCCAACGTCCTGAAGAAATACAGTAAATAAAAGAAGACCCTTACCATTCCTTATTTATTTATTTGCATATGAGTAAAATTCTTGGTGTAAAAGAAAAGTAGAGAGCCATTTACATGTGCGCATATATATGCAATTATTAGTTTAATGCGAAAGTCGCTAGTGTCATTTTTGTGCAATGTTATTAAATTCTTAGGAGTGTCTTTAAAGTTCACTCGACTTTTTATTGCTTGCGTAGCCATCCGTTGTATGTCATTTACAACATTTATGAAACATTTAGAAACTCGGAAAATGTATCCCACCCGAAGAAAACTCGGCCAGCATTTAAACAATTGTCTTTTACTTCTGGCTTGAGAAACAGCCATTTTCAAAAACTGACGATAAAAAATAGATTTAATGCAAGAAGAAAACATCATATAAAATCGTAGCTAGAATCAGGACAGCAATTATTTCAGTCGAAACGAAATCTTTTAAGGAAAGCGAAATTTCTGTTTTGTGTTCAAGGGGATTTATATATATCTTTATTTCTTATTACTCAAAACCTTATATTTACGTAAATTTTTGTAAATTTACGTCTACCGTATTTGAGTCTTTATAATGAAAAGCTTTCACATACAGGCAAATTACAATTGCCGTTTAAGAAAGGCACATATCTCGTTTGGATCCCTCGAAGCCCATACCTGCTAACCTTATTTCGTGTCCGAAACGTAAAAATAATTTTTAAGGAATTAATGGATTTTATTTACAAACCGACATTATTTAGTATTAATTTTAAAGTCATCTTTAGTGGATACATGTGTTTTAGTAGACATCCTTGCTTTTGAAACAGTGTAAATTTAACTCCAAGTGGTGGCGCCATTCATTAAAATCGACTCTACAGTGGCGCAAAAGAAGCTCCGTTTGAGGTTGTCTGGTAGATCAGATTTCCATATTACATCCTTTTTATTCGAGGCGGTCCAGGATTTAGATATGCGAATTTTCACATCCTTTTCAGTAGAATTTATTTAATTTCCGAAATAGGTAAAACATTCAATAGATTTTATTGATTCACTTGAAACATTTTGTATTGAGCCTTACTTGTTGAATATTATGAATTCAGTTTTAGTGGTATTGGCATAGAGACCAGCATCATTAACAGTATTTTTTAGATGACGTAGAACTATGGCATTGCTAATGGTGTCTGTAGTGATAGCCATCTACATAGTCAATATCACTCCATTTTTTTTTTTTTGCAGGATATCGACTTGAGAGTCTTTGTAATTAAGTAATGCCTAGATGATGATGTTTATTGAATCTAAGCTTGAAGGAACTTGCGCTGGGATGCTGAAAGCATAATTAACACCTCTTGGGGACAGCAAGCAATTAAATCTCTGCTCTACGCTCCCATCCCTGATATTTCTACAATCTTACGTGGTCGCAGAACGTGCTTTGCAGGCCACTGCTGGTGAAGACAACAAGAACTTGTGAGTAGCCTATTGTTCTGGACACCTAACCATGGCGCAAGACGCGTTGGTCGCACGGAAACCATCTGCGTTGACCAACTATGTAATGGCTCATAAATATTCGAGCTAGCTCGACCGAATAAAAAAAAAAATCATTTTACCTCTGGTGGCACAAATTTTTAAAAAATGTTTCCCGAATGCACGTGGCTTATGGTCACATCAAGTTGAAACATAGGTTCCTGTACAATCACCGAAGTTAAGCAACATTGAGCCTAGAAGGGTAACCGCTTGGTGCTGTAAGTTTGAATGTGTGGGTAGAGTAATTGATAATGCCTCGGAATTGTTAATCGGAAAGCCGAGTTCTAATTCCTGTTGGGTTCGTTATATTCACTTTAAGCGCAAATACTCTTGGGAAAGGTATGAATCCAAATCTTCTCCCGACAACCCAGCTACAGGTTAATTAGTAAAATTAGTATTACTAAAGCATTATTATCTCTTACAATCTAAAATATTCTCTGGCTGTAAATAATCTGTAAAGGGTTGATATCATAAAAAAGAATCAATCGATCAACCTATTGTAGATGTAAATTCATACCATTTAAAAAAAAAGATGTCTACTCAAGAAAGAAAGTGTTAGCATAGAACTTACGGTTACATCTACCCATTTAAACTGTAAGAGGATGAGACCTTAGCGCCAATCTAGTAGTATATTTAAATTCATAAAGTCTGGATACCAAAGAGGAAAGCTCATCACAACAATTAACATTAAAATATTTACAGAAAAGGCACAGGGAAACTACGTGAAAGTAAGTGAAAGCGAGATGCCAGGTTAGGACCAATCACATTGCAGATTCTTCTTTGTATTTCATCAAGAATCTCTAAATATATAGCAGAAGCACCGGATCAGATGTGATAGCAATATTCAATGCATGAACGAATGATAGATTTATAAATGCGTAAAATAGATTCTGACACGACACAGTAAACCAGTGCGCGCGCTCGTGTGTGTGTGTGTGCATATGTATACATACATAATGTGTGTGTGAAAATTTCTCGGCTTGACGCAGTATCTGCCTAAATGAGCAGAGTTTTGTAAAGAACAGCTTCTTAGTCCGATCGAGAACCCTTTACCATTTCCTTGTGTACGTATGTATGTATGTGGCAGAGGTCATATCATCGTGATAGAGTTCTAACATTAACAACTTCGCCAGTGTTTCACTACCAGGCTGCTCGAATCGTATACAGCGCAGTCACCAACTACCTTAATCGTTTCTTGTCATTGGATTAAGGCTGCCTGATGCTGAGAGTCCGCACAGTGTGACACAAGATATGAATTATGATGAGCGGGCTTCCGGATGTTGTGGAGAGATCATTTCATCTACCGCGGCTTATTTGGTGGCTGCCTGCGTGCAATGAGTGGGCAACCATTATGCTTATATAATTGCACGTACGGCACATGAATATATACGGATATAATTTATGATCGACTTTTAAATAAACTAAGCCGTTTATCTTGAATTTTTTATGAGATAAAAGGCTGTAATTATCATTTATTTTTTTCGACTAGTATTTTTTTAATCTGAATTAAATGTGCTTCTTATTAGAAATGTTCAGGCCGTCATTCTGAAGCCTTTGATGACCAGAAAATGACGATTTCGCAAGTTAACAATACCGACCGCAGAACGAAAATGAAATACTAGTCGAAAAAAAAACATACGACGAATAATGAACGTAGGTCGAATCAGTTCAGTTTGACAATAGAGCAAAAAGCGAATTTCTGTTAACAGATTTTAAGAAACTTTGATATTCTCTCATGAGATGTTTTTGTTATTTGATAATTCGCGGCCACACACGAATACATATCAAATTAAATTATTGTTTACTTGAAATACGTGGCAGAATTTACATAAACAAATCAGTTTTAAGATTTGTAATTTCTTCTTCTTCTTCTTCTTCTTCTTCTTCCTTATAGATAAAAAGAAAGAAAAAATACAGATAGATTGATAGAAAGATAGATACAGACTTACTTGGAAAGAAAGAAAGAAAGAAAGAAGGGCTTACATAGATAGATAGATACAGACTGAGAGAGAGAGAAAGAGAGAGAGAGAGAGAATTTTATAAATTTCGCATATTTTTTACGATACACACGTTCATACGTACGAGGTGGTGTTAAAAATTTCTCAGGTCAGCTATGTAGCCATTCCCTAAAAAATTCTGGAGCCAATTCTAATTTGGTCAGATGTTAGCACGTGAGACGGGCTGAGAACTTTTCAGTTCCTTTTAGTATATATAATATCAGCAATATATCAATTTAAAGGAATGCTGCATACATTTATGTGTATATAATTTATGCGTGTGTCTGTGTATGTGTGCGCATGGCACAGACAGAATTCACGTGATCCTTTTTTTCTTCTTTCAAATCAGACCATGTCACGCCACTCTGCCTAGTTCGAACGAATTCCGAGAGAAAATTCGTAAGCCCAATTTAAGACCACCTCTTAAAAGTCATCGCTCCAAACATTTGCCTTAGGGGTAAAAAGGCGGAGTGGGGAATGTGACACATGCGATTTGTCGTAAAGCCTTGAAAATAAGATCGTATTTAACTCGTGTCAAAATTCCCTAAAAAATCGCCCTTGTTACTAACACATACACACACACACACACACACACACACACACATATATATATATATATATATATATATATATATATATATATATATATATATATATATATATATATATATATATATGCCTGTTTCAAAATATTATTTCTATTGGTATTTGTGGACCTGATTATATGCATAATGGTTTTTTTGGAAGTGTACGAACTAGGGATGCTAGGAAATTGAAATTTTTATTTTTTTTATTTTCTATTTTTAAATTCCCAGTATCCCGCGTTCGTGCGCATGTGTAGTTGCAACAACGTAACAAATTTAGTACGATGAAGTCCTAAAGGACAAAACGCGGCATACGAAAACTTTTTTACATTTCGTCATACATTTTTCTTACCCAATATTGTTCTTGATATATAAAAATATATATATATATATATATATATATATATATATATATATAATGCTTATAAAATCTGTCATGCTTATCAGCTATTGCATTCTTTCACAGATCCACATGTGTAGACATTTCACATTTGCTAGAGAATTCTTTTACAGATCCATATGTGTAGATATTTTCTTTTCGGAGAGATGTGCGTGAGGGAAAAATTCTATTTGAAGCAATAACCTCGAAAATTTGTCCCACGAGATCATTTTGTTAACATCTAAATATTAGCACACGTGTTTTCATCACATCTGCAATATGCATTTTCCATTCGTTTATCTCTAACATAAAATTCTCTTTCATCGGGTCATTTGTCAAGAAACGTTATTGTCACATGTTTAAATCATTTCAGGTCAAGGGCAGTTTAATTTAACAAAGAATAAAAAGAATACAGATGTTTTTAATACTTGGTCACTATTTTGTATGGAACTCGAATTTATTTAACTGACCAAGGAGAATATTTATCCCTTCAGGACGTGGGCAATCATAGCTCTCCACAATTTCCTGTCCTTTGTAGCTCTTAATAAAGTTTATATTTTTGCTATCTCCGCACTAATTCCTGTTCTGCCAACCATTTCCACAAACTGTCAGTTATTTTTGCGATGTTTTCTTCTGTCGCTCTTGCTTTCAATATGACCTGTGGGTGTTAAATTTTCCGAGCCCTCTTTCATCCTTATATGCTCTACAAATTTTAATTATCTCTTTTCTTATGTTAAGTATAAGTTTCTTTTTTGTTTTCCTTTTCGTTAAAACTTCGTCATCGCTCATATGTCCAATCCATGATTTCCTCAGCATCCTTCTGTAGAACTACATTTGCCTCAAATCTTTTCTTCATCTATGATGGGATTGTCCAGCATTCCCTACTATAGAGGAGACTGATATTACAAGACAGTTCGACACTCTTTTCCTTGTTTTTAACGACATTTTCCTTTTCCTTAATACTTTGCTTTTTTCGCTATCCCACTGTGCAATTCGGTGTCGCATTATCCACCCTCCGTTAAAAAAAAAAAAAAACTTCCTAGATATTTAAATGTTTGTAATTGCTTGATTTTGATACCTCCAATATATAATTCGCATGTTGGGCTGTTCCTTTTGCTAACACCGTGTCATCTGCATCTTAAGTTCGTGGCCGACAACAAATCCTGATAGGACTTCTAATTCTCAGGGTTGCTTCACTGTAAAGTCTGTTGAGAAAACACATATTTGTCTCATGCTCCATTCTATTTGTGTGTATTTGCCGAATTTGTCTTCTATCCGTATGTTGATGGTTGTCTCCCAGGTCTAGATTCTTCTAAAATATTTCTCAAATATATTAAGTTTATATCAAGCAGATATATTACTAAGCTCAATTTAGACTTTAAAAATGCGAAAGTTCATGTTGTATTAGTTTTGCAAACCAGAAGATTAATATCCAGTTTTCTGGCTTTTTCAACAGTTTCATCACTGCCCAATGGAGCCGGTAGCGAAAGAAAAGTATGCAATTACTTAGGCAACCAGGCATGCCTATCACACAGGTACACACACAAACACAGACACGCACACACACACACACATATCTATCTAACTATATATCTATATATCTATATCTATACATACATATATATATATATATATATATATATATATATATAAATATATATATATATATATAAAAAAGAGAGAAGCCGCAAACGTTTTTGGTTATAACGTGGATTTATTTTATTCTTTATATTTCTCGTAACCTTCTTCAGGCAAATAAACGGAATAAATTTTTAGAAGGAATAAAAAAAAGAAGGAATAAAAAGAACATAAGGAAAAAAATTTATTCCTTTTATTTGCCTGAAGAAGGTCACGTGACCGGAAACACGAGTAACAGAAATATGGAGAATAAATAATATATATAATATATATACTAAAACAAATCCACATTATAACCAAAATGTTTGCGGTTTCTCTTTTTTTAAAATATACATTTTTCTCTCGTGGGAAGAATTATAAGCCTTTCCCTATATAGTCAACGAAGGCCCGCTCGAACATCGCGAGAGCGTAAAACTTGAGTAGCGACTCGACGACTGTTCTTCATTGACTGTTGATGTTGTGAAGCGCTTTTTTCTCTACTTGGATAGTCGAGGTGTTGAGCGCTTTAATTTACTGCTTAAGCAGGTATTTGCCTTTTCTTTTTTTTTTTTCTTTATATATATATATATATATATATATATATATATATATATATATATATATAATGTGCGCTGCATTTTTTATTTGTGTGTTCTAGAATTTTTTTTGTGTAATTCTTTGTGTATTCTAAGGTTTTAATATAATATGTCCCTTACAAGTACTTCACTTTATTAAAATCAATATTGAACTCTTTACGATTCCCATTTTATGCAAAGCGTCCCTTTAGGACGTGGCCGGTCATGGTTCTACACAACTCCCCAGTATTTTGTAGGTCTTATTAATACTTGAATTTGAACAGTACTCTTTCCAACCCCTGATCTGATATCCATTTACATAAGCTTATTAACTCGATGTTTTCCTCCATTCCCTTCAATATGTCTCAATACGTTTCAATATGTCCTGTAAGTTTCAGATTCTTCAAACCCTTCTTCATCAGATCTCCCAGAAATTTCAGCTGTCATCTTCTGATTCTAAGTATATGCGTTCTTTTTCCATAAGATTTATCCGTAGCTTTCATGCCCGGTCAATAATATTCTCAGCATCCTTCTGTAGAACCACATCTCCGTTGCCTCTAGTTTTCTCTTCGTCTGTAAGGATGTTGTCCAACATTAAATTCCATATTGGAAAATTGATATTACATGGCATTTTACCATTTTTTTTTTATTTGTTTCTAACGAAATTTTCCTGTTTCTTGTTTTGCTTAACTTTAAGAAGGCATCTTCTGCTCTTCCTATGTGACTTCGGATTTCTATCAGACATTTTCTGTTTGCCATGAGTTTTCATTTTTACAATAGCATTACAAACAAACGACTGTCACCTTGTCTTCCTCAATCTTTTCTACCCTCTTCTGTTCTTTATCAATTTAAAGTCAAGATGGACATGGCGAAAGGAAATTATTCTATAAAATTTATGTTAGGATTATAATATTTCTAATTCGCACAAATAGGCACAAACGCATAAACGTTCAGGTATGAATTATTTATAATGAAATCTACGCGACAGTATTATCAATTATTTGCTGAACGCACAAGTCAATCGGAAAACATACTGCTAATAGGTTTTACGTATTTTATTAAGTAATTCTCATGAAGGACTAAGCATAAACTGCAAGAAAACAGAATGCATGGCTGTTAGCAAAAGGATGAGCCCAAAATGCAAATTACAAATCGGAGATAACAAAATCAAACAATTACAGAAATTTAAATATCTGGGAAGTATTTTAACAGAAGACGGAAAGTGCAACAGTGAAATCCAAAAGTGCACTGGGACAGCAAAAGATGCATTCCAAAAATTATTGAACAGGTGTAGAGATTCATCTCTTGTCCCTGTTCAGGATATGGTTTAGGGATCCTTTTTCTTTCTCTTACCAGGGCCACAATGATTTAACTGTCTTAACTCTTTGGTGATCAGACTATCCTTAATTACGAATTAAAATTTAACATGGCTCTTGGATTTCATGGAACTGACTTTATAGCGATTCACTTAGACGTAAGTATTCATATTTTGCAAGGCAAATTTTGTCGACAGTTACATATAGTTTGTCATTAAGATTTATTGGCGGCCACAAACATAAGCTATGCAAATGACACAGTGTTGATAGCAGATACAGAAAGAAAATTCAAAAGCTACTACAGGAGGTAACCGAGAAGAAAAGATTAAACATAAACGACAAGACAGAATGCATGGCTGTTAGAAAAAGGATGAGCCTAAAATGCAAATTACAAATCGGAGATACCAAACTCAAACTAGTACAAAATTTTAGATATCTGAGAAGTGTTTTAACAGAGGACGAAAAGACACTGAAATCCAAAGACGTATTGGGATAACCAAAGAATCCTTCTAAATGTTAAGCAGAATATTAAGAGTAATATAAACTTCGTTAAAAACAAAGAAAAGAGTATTGAACTGTTACGTGATATATGCTCTCCTAAATGACAATTTCCTCAAAGAAGAAGAAAATACTTCGAACAACAGAAATCTAGTTCTACAGAAGAACGCTAAGGACGCCATGGGCCGAACATGTTAGTAACAACGAAGTTTTAGAGAAAATGGAAACAATAAGAAAACTTATACTTAACGTCAGGAAGAGACGGTTGAAATTTCTGGGAAGGAGGGCTTGTAAAAGATGATATTCACAGGACAGTTTGTGGAAAAGAGGAACAAAGGAAGTCGAAGAAGAATTTCTAGGAAACTTAATAAAAAAGTAAACATTTATGGTTAAAGATCGGTCATTGAGTCGTTAAATCAAAATTAGAGTTTAAGGAAAGAAAAGGTGAACTAGAGTGAGTGAGGTGGGAAGATGGATAGAAATCAGAGTAGATGAAAAAAGGGATCTGAAACAAGAGAGAGGGAGAGAGACAGAGGAGAGAGAGAGAAAAGCTAAAGAAAGAATGGAATAGAGAGAAGCGGGGAAAGAAACGCTATAGTGAAATATATTTAATGACGGAAACTAGACTGGAAAACAAAATATTTCCAAGATATCGTCAGGATACCATAAATTGAAAGAAAGAGTAGGAGTGAGAGTTAAGAAAAAAAAAGGGGGAAAAAATTAAAGAGAAAAAATTATTCACGAAAAATGGGGGACATGAAAAATTAAGTGAGAAAAACAAAATGAAAAGAGAAACATACAAGACAGATTTGAATTCTTTTTAACGATAACAAAAATCCTTGTAGATTCATTTTCTAAAAAAAAAGAAGTCTTTATCAATTATATTTCATCTAATAAAATCTTGTTTCCAGATTCCGGGCCTTCTCACTCCCGCTGGAGGAGCCCCTCCCTGACTCAACATATATTCACGAGTGTAGCCGAATCATCATAATTAAGATAAATGCGAGTTGGTGAGGTTTTGAGTTGTCCTACTCCTAGAACGGTTGCCACGCTGCTATTTACCCGTAATTGGGGGGAAGAAATGTGACGATGCTAATTACCCATAGGTGGGGAGAAGAAATGCCACGTTGCTATTTACCCATAGGTGGGGAAAAGAAATGAGACGCTGCTATTTAGTCATAGGTGGGGAGATGAAAAGAGACGCAGCTATTTACCCATAGGTGGGGAGAAGTAACGTCACACTGCTATTTATCCATAGGTGGGGAGAATAAATGAGATGATGTTATTTAGTTATTGTTATGGAGATGAAATGCTCCGCTGCTATTTGCCCATAGGTGGGGAAAAATGCGATGCTGCTATTTAACCATAGTTTGGAAGAAGAAATGCGACGCTGCTATTTAGTCATTGTTATGGAGATGAAATGCCCCGCGGCTATTTAACCATAGGTGGGGAGAAGCAATGCCACGCTGCTATTTAACCATAGGTAGGGAAAAATGCGATGCTGCTATTTAAACATAGTTGGGGAGAAGAAATGCGACGCTGCTATTTATCCATAGGTGGTGTGAAGAAATGCCACAATGCTATTTACTCATAGGTGGGTAGAAGAAATGGGACGCTTCTGTTTACCCGTAAGTGGGGAGAAGCAATGCTACACTGCTATTTATCCATAGGCAGGGAAAAAATGCGATGCTGCTATCTAACCATAGGTGTGGAGAAGAAATTCGACCCTACTATTTATCCATAGGTAGGGAAAAGAAATGCTATGCTGCTATTTACCCATAGGCGGTGAGGAAAAAATACGTCGCTGCTATTTGCCCATAGGTAGGGAGAAGAAATACAACTCTGTTATTTACCCATAGGTTGTGAGGAGAAGTGATGGATACATAAGGATATTTATTTCCCAAGTGAATGCAAAAAACCTGACTGGAATTTGAACATTGCAACCCGATTCCCCAATCCGAGCCACTACCCATTACTTCACCGCAACTTTTACTTATAACCATGTATACTTGTTAATCTTTATGATATTCATTTCTGTTCATTCTAACTTTAAAATTTCATTTGTCTGATTTTTATATAAAAAAATTCTTTATTATTTCCAATTTGTTTAATATAGTACGCTTCCTTAGAGTAGATAGTTTATATGAAGAAATATAATCCTGTGCTAGATACAAAAGATTAACAATTACTTTATTTTTCTTAAGTTCAGATGTTATATAAATAATGGTCGACGCTTTCTTTAGTCAGAAAAAATGGTTCTTTGTTTTCAAATTGCGATAAAATAGCGTCTGATTCTATAGCACATGTCGTATATAAATCCGAAAGAGCTAACAATTCGTTATCTTAGTGAGACGTCTCGTAATTTCCACGAAGCGGGAATGGAAAATTTGGATACTGATAAAATGTCCTCAATTTTCAAACATTTGTCAAATAACGATCAGTGTAAACATAAAGAAATAGTTTTCTTGTCCTGGAATGCATTGAAACACAAAAATTGAATCAATCCGAAAGTCTACATTTCCAGCCAGATCAGTTTTTAAAAGTTCAACATTCAACCATATTCAACCCAGCGTTTATGTAACAAGAATTTTCGTTTTTTTTTTTTTTTTTTTTGCTACGGTTTTAGATCAGCAAATTTTGTTGTCGACCGTTAAAAGTTGGCAACATCTTATCTAAAGCTTTGTAAATGCCTTCAATTGCATGCAAAGAGTTTATAATCGGGACATTTAATGTTAGAGGTCTTGCGAAAGAAGAAAAGCAGGAATTATTGTGTCAGGCGTTGATAGTTATAAATTTGACGTATATTGTCTCCAAGAAGCCCAAACCAAGGAACTACTTGATATTAATATTGAAGTTATTGGACAGCTTTGGAAATAATAAATATTATGGAAATGTTTTGTCATGACTTTGTCATTAGCACCAAATGGAAGAATACTATCCATAGGCATTGGAAGAACAACTATGCTATAGCCATTGAACAGTGATACTAAAAGAACTATCAATAAAATCTGTATGTCATATTCCGAAAGAATCAGCGCATACGCTAGGCTATGAGGATCTCCTTAGTCGGCCTAGTATAGAAATAAATACGACATAGGAGCTGCTAATAATGAAAGAAAGGCAAATGACAGCAAGGCTTCATTCGCAGCAGCAGCAATCAAAATATGTGCAACAACAGCAAAAGTCAAAACATGACAACGTAATCAGTAGTCAGGTTAAGGCTTTAAGTTCACTACGAAACAATGGTCTAGTGGATAAAATTGTTGGGTTTTGAGTTTGGTGACATAGTGTTTAATCTTAATCCTTGGGCTGAACAGTGTGTAATATTTATAATACATATAATATATAAATTTAATATTTTCCTATATAATGCTCAACGCATATACAAGCACAGATGTGAAGAGATGGGCACTCATGATTTAAGCATTCCACACACCCCAAACGATGTTCGTAATAGAAAACAGCATTCTTGCTTTCCCTCTCGAGGCCAATAGCCAGATGATAAGGGAGGTCTATGCTGATGATATAGGTATTCATAATTGGGATTATAATGATCTTGAGCAAAAAATCAACATCCTTTACTAAATGTTCCAAGAAATAGGATTCAAGATAAATCTTTCCAAAATAGTAATAATTGGATTTGGAAAAAAAGCAGTGATGACACCTACCCTGAATCCATCATGAAAATTTGGGATGTGGAATTAGTAAATACTAAATACTTCAGATACCTCGGCATATGGATCAGTTATAACAAATTAAGTATTGGAGAAATTGAACATAGAATAGGCTGCACTAGAGGTAGTTTCGCCCAACACCGCAAATAGCTACGAAACCAAAACATCAACCTGAAAACTCCAGTCATGTATTTAAATAGCCTCGTCAGACCGAAACCTTCATATAGATAACAAGAATGGCGCCAGACCTGTTCAGAAATATCTAAACTGTCAGCTGTATACAATCGCTTTCTCAAATCAATAATTAAAAAGCGAATGGAGTCTGTATGTTTTAGTGAGGATAATCCTTTTTCGAACCTCGTGGACTGGTGCTCCAGAATCAGCAAAAACTGTCCCAAACAACAGGAATCACATGATTACTTTCAATAAGAGCAACAATAAAAATGGATAGCACATGTAACTCGACGAGAAAAATAAGGGCATAATCAATATGTTGACATTCCAGACTGTTTCAAGCAAAAGTTTAGGAAGGAAACACCCATCAATACTGGAAAGAACGATTAAAGTTACTGGACTTCAGAAACCTATTTTCCCGAAAAATTGTTTTAATAGAAACAGTTTATAAATTTCAACCGACGGTAGTTGTGGATTCTCGGTCAATGAATGCCAAATGTTTCCTTATAAGGAAACGGTTAATATTACCATTACCATAATGGCTAAATGGTAACATGCCGGTGTTTTTGTACAGTTTTAAATGAGACATTTCCATTGTCCAAGTACAATGCAACTGACTTACTTGACTCTCCTAAAAATAAACACGTCTATGGATCACGTAAGACATAATGTTGTGTGAGTTTAGGAAAAACAAAAATGTTTTAAAAACGACACGAAATATTTATGGTTTCCATGGAATATATTCTTTAAACGAAACAAAGCAGCAAAATAGTTTTGAAGTCTTAAAAGTAAAGATTCCTCGAACAGGTCGTCTTGGTCAGTTTAATGGTGACCCTATTTTAATTTGAATGCGATGGAAGTACAGATGCTACAGTTGAAGAATTAGTCCAAAAATGGAATTGAAGCCATCCAACATTTCACCATTCTTTACAGCCGAGAAAGTTGTCTAGACTTTGATATGATTTTCACATGTTTTAACAGAAACCAACCGTAAAGAAATCAGCACTTTCGTGAATGCATCTTGACATTTTTTACAGGTTCTAGACTGATGAGGGAAAAGGGGATATTTTACAAGAATATAAAAGAGCTGAACTGTTAACTAATACCAATGTAATAAATATATGACAGTGAATGCTTGACAATCTCCTTACAGCTCAATAGCTAATGTGTTTAGAATGGAATATCTTTTATAATAAAACAAATTTGACAAGAGCTTCCTATTACTTTTTTGAGTTTTTGTTTCAAAGGATGAAGTCTTCATACCATCAAATGATCAGTGGTGTTCAAAAATACTTGAGGCAGCCTTAAAATCTCTATTAATATATAACAAGGCACTGGCCATTTTCAAAAGTAACTGCATGAAATCGGTGGATGGTGATCTGGAGGGGCTACTAATTTGAGTAGAGTAGATTGAATGTTTGAGTCGAGTTAATAATTATCTTTTAAACAATCAAATTAATTTAAGAAAAGAGAATTGAACCCAGAAATAACTAGCGAAGATTCTGTAAAATTGAGAAAAACTAAAGTTTCCTGAACCTACTTGCCGCTTATAACAAAACATGATTAACATGTCCGTAATTTTGGGCCATGAGAAATTAAATTCGGGATTTGTTTACATTAATACTATCCGCCCAAAACGCGTATAAGCTTTTATATTTTACTGTCCCTAAATTCGGACATTACTTATTGGATGACCTGATATAAAAACGGAATAAAGAAGTTACCAATATCCAATTTTGTCTATCTGATTCTAAGCAAAAAACTTATTATTCGTTATATTGTTTCGTAACGTTTCCCCGCTCATTTACTGAGAATACATATATAAATTTTTTAGCAAATTTTATCTGGAATAATTGGCAGTTTGTTACAATCAAGTACGTTGCCAGTAAAAGCAACCACTCACTGTCCATAAATAAGGAAAAGGAAATAAAATATATAAATAAATGAATAAAAGTTTCTGGATTGTGTCCCTTGGCCAGAAGGTAGAGTATTCTGGTAATGAGCTTAAATATTTAGGGTGCATTCTAGATAAGAGTTGTTACAGAAATGAAGGTGCCAAATCGCCAGAGAAGATGCTATGGCCAACTGAAAATAGGCCAGTGAATAAAGAATCCAGTAGAAAACGGGGTTCTTGTTTTCTTTTCTCGCTGTGGCAATATTTCTCTTTCTTTTTCTTTTTGTTCTATTGCATTCGATATGCAACTCTCTCTGCTACGAAGTAGAGATGCGAACAGAGCAGGATAGATAAAGAGATAGATAGATAATGGTGGAAGAAAAAGAAAACCCGTTCATTCCATAGATAAATAGATATTGTCGATAGATAGATGAACCTGCTTGGTGGTTGGGGTATTTGCACATTTCTGTTATGGCCTGAACACAGGGGTCGAGATCAAATAAAAGCCAGCAATTTGAATGCAGGCCCTATCCTTTTGAAATATTGGCAAAATTCAATCTCCCTTGCTAATAACAGCTAGCACATTTACGTACTTGAAAAAAAAAACAAAAAAAAAAACACGGCAATATCTAATTTGCATATATATCTAATCATCTACACACGTAAGGGCTTGGCAGAGTCACACACACACACGCGTGCATGCGGACATATACACACACAGAGAGCTGTAAGAAGAAACATACGTAAATACAGACATATCGATCACGTCTTAAAATTTCTTGATAAATGAGACGAAAATTTCAAAATATCTATTATTATTCTATCTTTTTTTTAGTATTTGACATATTCATTTCGTTGATTTTTTATTATCTTGTCACCTGTCGAATTATTCGAGCCTTCACTTAAAAAAAAAAAAAAAAGAAAAAAAAAAAAAAAAGTATCCTTCACTCATGAAACAGCTGTCAGCAATGTCTTCACTTCTCGAGGACAATGTGTATTTCGATTCGGGTTATTGGATTAATATTATATTTGTCCAATCTACGAATAAGTTGTTGCGCATCCGGATCAAATAATAAAATATTAAATATATAATTCTTGTCATTTGAATTTAATAAAACTTGTTTGATTGCTTTCTTGTTGCCCCCCCCATATATATATTATATATATATATATATATATATATATATATATACAAGTATATAATTGGTATATACGGAATAATTTTTTTTTTATCTTCAACATCATCACTTGATAAGACACCGAGGGTGTTGAAACAAAATAGCTATTTTTTTAGTGATTTTATAACATACTTATGTTATAAATTTTTTTATAAATAATAATTATATATATATATATATATATATATATATATATATATATATATATAAATAAAGAAAGAACAGTAAGATATATAATCCGGTGTTCTTATTGATATTTTTTATTTTTATTTTTACAAAACAGTGCTCAATGTAAACTTACAGAGCATAAATATTACAAATTAACTGATTGAAAATATGGTTTTTTTCGCTACACAGTAATAACCATGTTTCAAAAATGGAAGCTAAAAACTTTAAATTTAACTATATAATTAAATTAAAAGCATTAGTTCCGTTTCATCTTCAAGCGAATATTGGAATAACTTATTTTTAAATTTACTTAGTTTTAAACGCACATATAAATTCATAATTTCCTGTTTCCAAGGATACAGAGAAATCCAATCATTCAGACAGGGGCGGTAGCGTGTTCATTTTTATTAACTATTGTTGTATCAATTATGAGTTACGTTCGAAAAAGAGGTTAAATTTAGGGAGGGAAGGGGTGTATTTTTCAACAAATTCTGACATCCGTTAAATGCATGCCGTCTGCTTTTTTTATTAATGGCAAAAAGTTTTTCGGCATGTTTTTTTTTTTACTTGTATACTTAAAGATTCTTTTTCGGTGTGTTTGTGTTAGAATACGTTTTATTTAACTCCAATTCTAAAATATTTTTACTCTTAATTACTAATAGACTATATTTCTTTGTAAATGTAATAGAATTACTTACATTATTTAAAATTATTTCTTCATATCAAATATAAGTATGTATATTACCAGCTCCCATTCTTTAATTTTATTTTTAAATATTATTTAAGGAAAATTTTTGACAATGATGGCAAAAAATAGCTATTTCATTTTTCCGATTCAGTAATTTTTTTATTTTTTATAAACTTAGTAATATATAGTTTCTCATGTATGCACAAAGGACATAGGTCATTTAATGACCTACATATTCTAGCTTTTCTTATTCATTTCTATTTTACTGTAGGTGTTTTATTGGATTCTTTTAAGTGCCAGAAATACTTTCAAAGCGATGTCTGATTTCTGTATTTATTTATCCTAAATGAAGTTTGGTGTTGATTGAACCGCTTTTTGAACTCATGCCTTGTACAACCTATATAGATTTTTATGTTTTCGGGATTCTCAATAGATGAGATATTGCATTAGTATATTAATGATTCCGTGCGACATTTATTTTGTAGAGGACAGTTATGAGGATTTCTACAGTTACATAATTTTTGTTTATCTTCATCTGTTTTTATTTTTGGTTTTTGTCTAAGTGTTTATTTAAGATATTAGCATGATGTTTCTTAATAATTTTTCTAAGTTTTCAATACAGCTGTAACTTAATTTTAGTGTATTTTTATTGAAAATAGTACTTAGTTTATTTTCTCTAGAAAAGTGCTTAACTCTTAATGCAAAGCATTTTTGTCCTAATTTGTTCTTTTACCATTTGGTTGTATGGGAGTGTATACCAAATTATTTTTCTACTTCTGTTCTTTCTATGCTTTTCATTTTCCTTTTTTATATAAGTTAGTTTTGGGTTTTTGTAGCCACTATCTTTTAGCGCTTTATTATAGAAATTAATATTTTCATAGAAAATCCTCTCATTTGCTGAATTTGTAGTTATTCTTTTTCCGATAGATAAAGGTATATGTTTAATTATAGATGGAGGATGATTTGATTCAGGGTGCATATATAAAGTATTGGTTTTTTTATAAGGTATGTATATATTTTTCATTAAATCTAATGTTATATCAAGGAAGTTAACTTTTTTTAATTTAGTGCTTACCGTAATTTTTAAGTTCAGGCTTTTAACTTTTGAATTAAGTTCTTCGTCTAAACCAATGTCAGTTATATTAATTTCACGGTGTGCTGTAAGATTGTATAATATAAAAAGACCTATAAGATCAGAATACTCAGCTTAGACTAGTGATCCCATTGTGATGTCAACGTGGTCATATGAATTTTTAACCATTGCTCACCTTTATGTATCAGTACCGATTTTTTTGCATTTATAATAATGCTCTTTTCTTCTTCAGCGATTATTGTTTAAGGTTGACGGACACGCATGTCTTAATTAGTTATTTTTTTTAATTTTTTTTTTTTAACGAATTGGTCAAACCCAAACTCAAACAAAAACATTATTTTCAATCGTTATAAGTCTATCGATTGAATAGAATTTTATTATAAACACTTGTCTTGTAAATGGAATTTTTAAAGCATTCTGAATGTAAAAATAAAGAAAAAAGTGTGCAAGACAAGAAGAAACATTACCTGCCAAAAAAAGTGAAGTTTTGTTGAAATCGGTTGAAAAATGTAGGAAATCCGATCCCATATATAAACGAACACACACACACAGAAACAACCTGGGTTTTATAATAAGTATTATATGAGTTGTCCCCCTTTCATTCTGGCGACAGAATCGTGTTTTATCGTGTTTTCAAATTGATTTCGTGCAAAAACAATTGTCTTTTTCCAATTTTTGGCGCTGTCATTGGTGAAACGAAACGTGATTAATGCTCGTCCTATCAACGGTGGATCTTTTAAAATTCTAACTGCATCGTTGTATTTTTATATATTAGATTTATAGTCTAATTTTGGCACAGTCTTTATTTATATGTTCATTGGTTTTAGAATTTTTCGTGACCCATATTGCTTCAATACCAGTTTCGTGAAAACGGTTCATAGGCGAAATGAAATCTATTTTCTCATGATGCTGTTTGAGCAGCGAAATATGTCAAAATATGTTTTCCAAGTTGCCTTATATATTTACCATATATATATATATATATATATACTATTTACATTATTCGGCGTATTGTTCTCATCTTTGTTGCCATAATTATCACAATGTTTCGGCCGATGTACGCTCCGGCCTTCTTTAGGTGGTTGGAATGTCAGACTGGACCCTTTATTTCGCTCACTGGGGTAGATTATTCTAGTTCCACGTGCCATGCCTAATAGATGTCAGTTATTAGTTACCTCCTGTTAATTCACTTCTCCAAGTTCTCCACTGCCTTAACCAGTTATTGAACTCACACTGTTACTGGATCTAACCAACACCTTTATCCACTGTGCCATGTGTCCTTAAGGACATCTGTGTATGAATTTCTGGGACTTATAAACTTAATGTCTTCAGCAACCATTTTTTTACCAGTGCTCATATTGCAATTTTTGCTGTTAATGTTGCATGCTTTTTTTTTTACCAGAGCTCATATTGCAATTTTCGTTGTTATTATTGCTTTTCTCTGGCACTCCTTATTACTGGTTCCCATATTGTATTCATTTCTATGCTTGGTCGGCTCAGGAGATTTTTGTGGCTTAGCATATGTGCCGATTCCTTAAGTTTACGAATTTTCTAATAATGTTCATTGTCTATGATTTCAACCTGATCCCATATTAAGGAACAAATAAGTAACGTTTTTTAGTCTAATATGCTTCGGCATATGAAGACTTCATCAGAGAATGAGATACGGAGAAAAAAGAAAGAGAAAAAATACTGTTATAATTAATTTTTGTGTTTTTGTTTTTCATGGATTAATGTATTTTTGGTAACTAATTGTAATGACAAATGTACCATCTTAACTAACCGTCCCTTAAATATATCGTAACTGCTGATGAAAAGTGGGTTGCATACAGCAATGTTCAGCGCAAAAATCAGTAGATTGGCAAGAATAAATCTCTACAACCGACCCTTAAAGTTGAGCTCCTTAGAAGAAAGGTGATACGTGCGTGTGGGGAGATTGTCGGATTACTATTCGTTTAGAATTCTTAAAACGCAATGAAACAATAAATGTACATTTATACGTTCAGCAGTTGCAACGTGTCCATAAAAGTTTCGTCGAAAAGCGATCTGTGCTCGTCAATAGGGAAAGCTTGTTCTCTTCCATGACAACGCAAGACCTCATACTGCAAATGAAACACAAGAAAACTTTTGGAACTCAGTCAGATTACTCTACCCGCCATATTTATCTGAGCTTGTACTGATTATTACTTCTTTCGATCGCTTCAAATTCCTCTAATAAAAACCGGATTTAAGAGTTCGTCGAAAGAATTTTAACATCAAAACATTCGGAAATTTACTCAAAAGCTACTGAATAAATGATAAGTGGCAAATAATAGTAAATATATTACTGAATAAAAA